TTAAAGATCTTTTTTATGCTCAAACAGCAACATTACAGACTAACTAAAGTTGAAAAAGTGAAAAAGCATACTAGGACCCCTTTAATTGTCCCAAAATACTAATTGTCAGACTGTTTCTTTTGAGCTTTATGTTTGCTTTACAAATTGCCTCCCACTCTGAAATGCATGACGTTTGAGAGAGATCAGACCTTGTGTTTTGTTTCAGTAGGATGTGTTTCAAGCTTTTCTTTTTGGTCTTCACAAAAAGCAGGCATTAGTTCAGAGACCGCAATAATTGGTATGTGTTGGCTTGGCAACACTTTCCGTTCATCAGCTTGGCATATAATTACATGTGTCGCTTGAACAATGAGATGTCTCACCTTACCAGACTGAGCTTTATTTTAGACCTAGATACAATACCCTGAGTGTTTTCACACCTGCTACAGCTTCTTGTCATCTTGTTCTTCTTGCATAATGTTGGCATGGATTATGTCTGGGAAATGTTACAAGGTCTATAGTTACTGAAAAACAGCCACATGTAGTGATTTCTGGTTGGTCCAGGAAATGGATCTTTACTGATCTCTGTCAGACAGGAGAGCTGTATAGTGTCTTTCCCCGATCACCCCTCCTCCTGAAAAGTAAAAAAAAAAAAAAAAATTTTTTTATAAACTTGTCACTTTACAGGATCTTGCATTACATCAGGAAAATGATCTGATGTCCATTGCTAGTTACTTATCTGTATTTACTTATCTGTATAACTATTTATTGATGTACATTACCAGTCAAAAGTTTATAATCATTAAGATTTTTTAAAATGTTCTTATGGTCACCAAGGCTGCATTTATTTGATCAAAAATATGGTAAAGTAATACTGTGAAATAAAATAATTTAAAAGAACAGTTTTCTATTTTAATATATTTTAAAAATGGATTTATTCCTATGATGGTAAAGCTGAATTTTCAGCATCGTTACTCCAGTCTTCAGTGTCAAATAATCCTTCAGAAATCATTCTAATGTGCTCAGGGATTAAAGTTCCATCAGTTCATAAAGACAGTCACTTGCTTCCTTCCTGAATGATTCAGCTGTTCGAACAAATCAATTGAATGAATGATTTAGTGATAAAATCAGTGACGTGCCGCCATTTAGTTTCATTTTTAGTGTATAATTTCAGTTATTTTAATCATATTTACTCTCTCTCTCTCTCTCTCTCGCTCGCTCGCTCGCTCGCTCGCTCGCGCACGCACGCACGCACGCACACACACACACACCGCGCTCTCTCTCTCTGTCGCTCGCTCGCGCACACACACACACACACACACA